GGGGATGAAGTTTGCACAGCCCAGCGAAACACCCTCAAGGACTGAATGAGCCACAGAGGTTAGGAGTTCTCTGAAGGAGACCATCCGCCGAGCCGTATGAATTTTATAGCTATGGTTAACTTCCATCCTCCAGTCTCAGTTCAGGAACTCTGAAACGTTCTCGGTTCTTCTTTTATACCGCACACCCAGGCAGCCTCCGCTATCTCCTGACCAGCAAGGCAGAAGGGCACACCGGTTGCAATCAGCCACTCTTAACACAGAAGGAGAGGGCACTGATATTCCTTTGCTAAGATTTGGTAAGAGCTAAGAGTTTCCTTCACTTGGGCACCTGGGAAGTCCTGAACAGGGAGGTATCCTTTGGGCTGGACAGCTGGACCGCCCTCACGCAGCAACCACAGTGAACATGCTTCACAGTTGCAAAATCCTCTATCTGCATTGCAGAAGAAACTCTTTGGATGTGAATCAGGTTCAACTTCTTCAGTGCAACTCTGCCTAATTTAGTCCATAAAGTTTCCAGAGAAGGTTCAACCTACAGCCTGCTGGATAGATGCAGGCTTGCATCTGCCTTTCCCTCTTGTGCCTTGGGAAGTCAGCGTTTCATTAAACCCATTGCTCGAGATGAACTTTGAGGGAAAGGTGACTGAGGAGTTAATACCTCAATAACATCAGTGCTATCTAGACTCCTCTGACTTCCTGGCCCTGTTTCAGTTTGGCTTCCAGCCTAATTAGGGCACACAGAGACTGTGCTAACAGATTATCTTTTCCTAATGATGGACAAAGGTCTGACATCCATAATGGTGCTTCCAAATCCATCATCAGCCTTTGCCTACGGGGACAGCTAGCGATGTGCCCTTCTTCCTTCCTTTGTCATCAGATGCAGACATGGCTTTCTCCCTGCCTTTTCTGTGCCTGGCACTGATGTGGATGCAAGTCTGGATCAAATTCCAGAATTATTAGGACGAAAATTATTAGGAAATTAATGCTGGCAAGTAAGGAACAAAGTCAGCACTGAAAATGTGGGTAGCCAGACTTTTCCCTTACCCGCTTCGGTAGCAATTGCACTACGCTCCACTTCATCCTAGATCTTCAGGAACACTTTGTGGCAAGATGTGCTTTCTGCCTTCTGCCAAATACTTTTTATTATCTCTCCGATCCACAAATGTCCACTGTAACCTATGCCTTTATGAAATTCATTGGGATTTCTGTAATATGCCTTTTACGGGTAACCTTTGCAGACTATTCAGACCTTTAAAAACCGGTGTAGCATGCAGCTGGCTGCTCACTTGCACGTGTCAGCCAGATGGAGCACATTACAGGAACTCTCTGAGGACCGCACTAGCTTCCTATTTAATGCCAGGTGCAAGTCAAGGTACCGATATGCAATCTGATAAGGAGCTGCCTTTTGCTGGGTTAAGCTGGACACTTCTACTGATGGTTGCTAGAGCACCTTCGGTGGAGGGCTCTTTTCTACCTCTAAGATTTGCTGTTTTTTCATGAGAAGTTGGACAAACCTGTTGGGGCACAATCTCAGGCTTAGCTATTTATTCTACGTGTAACTGGGGGGAAGGTACGCTAGGGAAAATGTGAAATTCACTGAGGCTGGGGCTTGTCATTTGGTTTCAAAGAGTTTCTGCAGAAGGAATACGTTAAATCTCTGAATGAATCCAGGAAAACCAGGGGCACTGATGCTTCCCAGGGTTTCCAGAAGCTATCCTCTTGATACCAAACCAGGAAAAAAAACATAAAATGCTAAAGAAGCATTGTATTGCCAAATGTGTTCACTACCCAAAGAAAATCACAGAGAATTACTGTCAGAAGAAATTCCACAGTAAATGACAGATCATCTCCCTTACACAATTTGCAGTGTCATGAATGAATAGCACGGTAATCCAATGAAATCCTCATGCTTAATGAAATAATGAAAAGTCATGTGGCAGATGGAAAAACTCTTCTAAATCTCATTAACCTGCTTCCTCCTTTTTTCTGACATTGGTGAAAATCGGGAGTAACTCCAGGGAAGACGGAGCTTTTACAGCAGCGTGAAATGAGCGTCAGAGAAAGGAGAAGGTAATCTAACATCTACAGTGAAGAGCAGAACACAACAGAGAAACACCACACAAATAAGCATGGAAATACCAAAGAAAATGTAGGCATTTTCCTGCGATTTCTGTGCCCACACATCTCAGAGATGAGGCACTGATTCCTCATGAAGAAATTAAGTTGGCCTGTTTGCTCCTGCTCCTGCACGCAGCAGTGCGGCACCCCCAGGTGCGCCACAACTCCTGCTTTTGAAGCCTCATCTCCCCCAGCTCTGCTTCAAAGGATCAAATGCAACTTGAAATGCTCCCACATGGGAAAGGGAGACACACAAAGACACGAAGCCCCCCGCAAGTTGCTATTTTTAACCAAGTGCTGAAACCTCAAGGGGATCAGAAGTGGTAGCGTGGAAGAAAAGCGTCCTTCAAGTGCAACAAACTTCAAGGAGATTTCTCCTGAAGATATAGCTTCCTTTATTTCCAAACCTCTTTTAATGAAGCCCTGACCTCTTTGAAGTATTAAACCTGAGCTGCCAGCACTGCTGGTTGGTTTTGAGCTAGCAAGGCCTTGCAAACTCCTTATGGGAAATTCCAGGGTCAGTTCATCATTTGCCCCCAGGGTACCCCCTTAATCGGAGTTTACTGGCTTGGGATTTCCTCGCAGGCACTGCATCCGCAGCAGGGGAACGCAAGGGGCACCAGGGGAACGCAAGGGGCGGAAAGACCAGCCCGAGGAAAGCCAAGGGCGAGGACAGGGAGCTGCCTAAGGGGTGATCGGTGCGGCTGGTTCCCTCAGGGTGCTGCGAGCCCGCAGGACGCGTGTCTCCCCCGGGCGGGGACACCCAGAGGCCGTCCCTGAGGGGGCACCAAACGGCCTGAGGGCAAGG